CGAGCGATAGGTCTACAAGTACGGCCGACGCGTGCTGCGCGTCTATGCTCCATGCTGTCTATCATTTGCGATGCGTGTTGGCCTTTATCATGCGATAGCGCGTGACTGAACGTGCACCTTGTCCGAAGTATGTTCCAAACTGACTCGTGTAGACTGTAGCCAAAAAACACATTCGAGCGATTTGATAGTTTCGGACACCAAACTTTTCCGAATGGCGGAAACAGATTTGATGCAAGTCATCGTTCTGAGGATCGCTTTTGACAGTTTCGCCACAACCCACATCATCAAGGAAAACAATTCGAGCTACGATTTTTTTTCCTAACACTTGAAGTATATACTAGGGGCAACGATTGGCCCCCCGCCCCCAAATGGGGCGATTGCCAAACTCGCGTGGCAAGACACTCATGATGGATTGCAGATGAATACCGGGCAATATCATTACGAGTTTTCGGCTTCGAGAACACTGTCAGAGAGTCCATAATGGAGTGGATCACGTACGAAAAGCAGACGATAGTGGAAGATCCGAAACGTCCACTGCGTAGANAACTCGCGTGGCAAGACACTCATGATGGATTGCGGATGAATACCGGGCAATATCATGACGAGTTTTCGGCTTCGAGAACACTGCCAGCGAGTCCATAATGGAGTGGATCGCGTACGAAAAGCAGACGATAGTGGAAGATCCGAAACGTCCACTGCGTAGANAGGAAAACAATTTCGAGCTACGATTTTTTTTCCTAACACTTGAAGTATATACTAGGGGCAACGATTGGCCCCCCGCCCCCAAATGGGGCGATTGCCAGACTCGCGTGGCAAGACACTCATGATGGATTGCAGATGAATACCGGGCAATATCATTACGAGTTTTCGGCTTCGAGAACACTGTCAGAGAGTCCATAATGGAGTGGATCACGTACGAAAAGCAGACGATAGTGGAAGATCCGAAACGTCCACTGCGTAGACCACAATTGGTTGTTGGCTGCAGGGGTCCGGGCGTGGCGCGAAGTCTCGAGAAGAAAAACAAATGCACGTGTCGTTGGTTGAGGCAGTCGGATACAACGGAACTTGGGGAAGGTATGTGGCAACCCAAGAGTAGTATACTTGTGTTGTTAGCCTGGCGTTCGTTGATATTTAGGTCGGCCCCGACGAAGATGTGAAGGGTGGACAGTTCAGATATTCATGCTTGTGACGATTACGTACATTTCATGGCATGAATGCAGCATCAGGTTTGTATGTGATGATGCCGCAGATGTCGAACGATCTGATGCAAAATATCGCAGACGAAGTCCTGTATTGGAGGCCAGCGTGCAGTGTTTCAGAGCCAACAGCAATGAATGAGTGGTGGATGTCAAGTCTACTTTTGGTCGAAAATGTAGGTCGTAGGACGGCGTAGGATACAACGTGTGGAACGGCAGAAGCAATAGGTGGAATGCATAGGCGGGAGTGGCGGAACGTGTTGTAGTGCCAACCGCGGGGAATTCAAATAATTATCTTTGTAACGATTACCCGAAGTTGTTATACCATACTCCAAGGAGTCATTCCGTCGCACTACTCGAAAATTGGATATGCGAAAGTTTTTTTTCGTTTATTTTTCTTGCGCACGTCACTCACCTTCTTTGTTGTTGTGTGAGACTGAATGCGACGGCCTTGGGCTGCCCCGAACATGTAGNGCTCACCTTCTTTGTTGTGTGAGACTGAATGCGACGGCCTTGGGCTGCCCCGAACATGTAGACTACTCTCAAACTTGAGGATTGGTCATGATCGAATGATTAGGCTGAGGAAATTTAGACAAACATGCGGTCGCTGGAGCAGCGCACGACGTACGTACACAGAGCCGCAACCCACGATAGTTGTAGCCGCTGTACAGCACACACATCTTTTGTGGGGGGGTACCGGGCAGATCATTGCGGACCTTCCTTAGCTAAAGAATGTCTCACATATATCACGGTTCGGACAAGTCGGAGGTTAGGTCGCGCGTTGGCGAGTTCACGAGTATGGTGCTTGGTCAATCCGCGTGTGCACACCAGCACCGCAGCACAGGAGGAACACAGAGTTGGCAGCACAGAGAACTGCTGCTGTTGTCTCCGCAATGTAAACAGCAGTCAACCCGCTCAACACGTCTTGTATGTAGGGTTCTGCATGTGGTCATCACACGATTCCAGGATGTCCTTAACCCAGCCATACAACGCGTACGGAAGGCCGTCAAGCCGTGAAGAAGAACACACATCGTCTGCAACACTGCTGAAGACTGTAGCGGAGAGAACTTGCATTTCCCTCCTACATGTCAACGGCCGCGTGCATACGACACGGACCGCGGTCATCACGCAATACGCCGTGCCCCGCCTGTCCGCTCCAACGCGAAATGTCTACAACAGCTACCTTTTACATTCAACAAGCCGCTTGCTCAGTGGAGCCGCGTAGATTTTTCAAGATTTCGCTTCCATGGAAGCTTGTCTACATACGATATAGGAAAGGTGTTGTACTCGACGCCAATCCATAGATTATTCAGTTCAAACTCGAGAAATTCAGATATCTGTACAAAGTGGTTTGCCGCGTATCACCAGCACTTTCAACGTCGCTCACCATGGCGTTCATACAAGTCAACCCGAGTTGCTGAAAGGGCTTTATTCGGTACGACTGTCGTTGTCAACCTGTCGAAGGAAACAAACGCTGGATCGTATTTGTTTCGAGTTGACGTTGGATCCCTGTGCTCCATGGGCCCATTGGTATTATTCTGGAACTCGCGGGTACGTAAGTAAGTCTGATGGCATGGTTATTTTGACTGATATGAAATGTGTGGATTGTTGCGGGAACGCCAAGGGGCACACATTGTGACTTTCTTTGCCTCAGTATGAGCGGTCCCACCTTCACGAACATTTTATCATGCACGCTTTGGCCCCACTCATATAGTCTACATGGAATACAGTCAACTTTGCCCTGTCCTGCATCATTGATGTCGCAGCATAGTGTTGGGGTTTGTTTGACTTGTAAAGAGGGACCAAAGCGTTTTCTTGCAAACTGACGTCAAGAAGTCCTTATTGATGCCACATTGTGATTGACTCGCGTTATCTGTCCTTTTGGGTCGTTTGGGGTCGGGTTGTACCCTTGGGTTTCAGGAGCTATATCATACGTACAATATATACCATCCTTTGGGCTCGTGTTGTTTTCGTTTAACATCAATCGGTATTTTGTCGACTACACTACGGGATCCTTGCCCTCTCATCTTTCATCTACACCCCCTTCGGTAATACTTGGAGGTTGGGTTCCAATTCTTCATCCTTGCTTACGTAGGTTTCCTTCGAGTTATCTCGTTCTTCTCGAAGTTGAATGTTGCAGAGTGCAGACACGAAGGCACGTGTTTGCTGGCCTTTGCGGTGGTTGGGAGGTTCTGTTGGGCGTAGATATTTCATTGTTCTTCGCGGTTTCGTTTACTTTCCTTCTGCATATTTTTTTCGGATCCTGCAGTCTAGAAAACGATATCGACAACACCACACATCATCAGCTGGAGACAGCAACGGCGCTGGATACGGCCGAGATCGTCAGAATCTTAAGCACGGTGCACGCGAGCCTTCCGGAGGGGAGGAAGACCTCAAAGGGCCAGCGGAGGGCGGAGCACGCTCTCCTCGCGAGCGACGGTAGCGGTGGGGGAGAAGCGCCGGGCCTCGGCAACGGCGGCCGCCGCAAGGGTGGTGGCGGCGGCGGCGGCATCCAGAAAAGAAGAGGGGGTGGCTAAAAAGCTGGTGGCGGCGGCGGACGCGGCGACGACGATGCGGGTAGCATGCGCGGTCGCTGTTTCCGGTGCGGCAAGAAGGGCCACCAGGTGGCCGATTGAACCGAGGGCAAGCCCGTGCGACGTGAGACATGCAAGGGCTACGGGCACGACAAGAGCAAACTCCCGACCGAGGGGGCGGTGCTCGTGGTGGAAATGCCCGAGGGGGAGACGTCTGCAAACGCCACAGCACTGGACGTGGCAGAAGAGGCGCTGGTGGTCAGTGGCATCTCAGGCGAGCGTCACAAAGTCGTTGGTCGAGGGGGTGAAGAGCAGGCTAGGCGGGGTTACGAAGAGTGTGATTGACGTGTGCGCGTCGCCGCCGGAGAAACCCTCTTCCCCATCGTGGGGTACGGCGCATGACGGTAACCCTTAGCTCGCGCGACGGCACAACCGACGCGTTGTTGAAACGGGTTGCACACGTTCCCCGACTAGATTACAACCTAGTATCTCTCACTTCCCCCTTCGACGATGGGTTCGAAACCAAAACCCTCAATACACACGAGTTGGAATTGGAGAGAGGGGAGGGGCTGTCGGTGTACTTCCCCCGATGCGGTAGCCTGTACGTCCAAAACGGTTTCCGCGCACACACCGAACATGCCTATACCGCAATTGCTCCTGGCAACGCGAAAGCGTCCAGCACCCCCGTTGACATCAACGATTTCCTCTGCGCGCACGGCCACTCCCACGAGGTGCTGCTGAGGACCACGGCAAAGCAGCAGGGGACGACGCTGGTGGGCGAGCTCCGGTAGTGCCTGGGATGCTCGACCGCTAAGGGACTTTCCAAGCCCATCCCCAGCAAAACGTCGACCCGAGCAGCTAAGAAGCAGGGTGAGTGAAATCCTGGTACGGTGAGAACCCGGCGTGCTCCGTTCCGGCTTTGTCGGGATGCGAGGTAAAATGTCTAACGACTATGGCATGCACGACTATGAGTACACGGCCCCCATGACCGTAGCCAGCGTTGCCAAGTCTGTGTACAGAGAGGGATGGAATCAGGCCATGAGAAAAGAGTTTGCAGGGCACTTGGGCACGGAGACGTTTTCATTTGTAGACGCGCGCCAGAGGGGCGCAGGCGTGTGAGCTACAGTGGTGTTTTAGTTGGAAGACCAACAAGGAAGGGAAAATCGAATAGTTCAAAGCGCGTCTGGTTGCTAGGGGGTTCTCGCAAATCCCGAACGTCGATCATTTCTATTCGTCTTCCCCTTACCTATCATCCGCATCTATTGAACTGATGCTTGCCGTAGCAAACGGGAAGGGCATGGACCTCAATCGTTGGGATGTGAAGCAGGCGTACACGCACGCCACGCTAGACGAGGAGAATTTTCTGAGGCTCCCCGCTAGGTGAGGGGACAAATCGCATAAGATCGTGAAGGCTGAGCGTGAGATTTACAATCTGAAGCAGAGCGGCAGACAGTGGGGGTACTACGCGGCTGATACGCTAGTCGAGAACGGGTTCGAGCAATGCAAGGCGGACCCGTGTGTTTTCCGCAAGATGGTAGACGAAGTCGTGGTGATGATTATCGTGATTTATGTGGATGACATTTTGGTGGCTGGGTCTGACGAGGATTGCGAGGAGTTGCTTGCTTCTCTCAACAAGAAATTTCCCACCAAAAACCTTGGAGAGTGTCAATGGTTTGATGGGTGTGCCATCGAGAGAGATGTAGAGGCTGGGACTCTTAGAATCTCCCAAACCGCGTATATCGACAGCATGGTTGAACGCTTCGATGTGAAATCAACTTCCCGCATCCCCGCTACCCCTGGTGCCGATCTAGGGCCGAAGCGAGAGGATGAGGAAGGAGGGGAGTGGCCGGTGAGGGAGGCCATCGGCAGCATGATGTGGGTGTCGACTTTCTCGCGTCCAGACGTCTCGTTCGCCGTGCGTGCGGTAGCGCGCCACGCCCATGCCCCGGTGAAGAGTGCCATCCAGAAGATCCTCGGCTACTAAAAAGGGACGAGGGACCTCGGCATCACCTACCAATGGGGATCGGCGTTAGGGCTAGCGGTGAACGTAGACGCTAGCTACGCCGACGCAGAGGATAGGCGTTCGGTGTCAGGGTTGGCGACGACGGTTGGAGGTACCGTAGTCAGCCACATTAGCAAGACACAGAGCATCGTGTCTTTGTCTAGGACGGAGGCCGAGTACATTGCTGCCGGGGAGGGCGCCAAGGAGGCGTTGTTTGCGCGTGCTGTGCTTTCGTTTTTTGCCCCAGAGACCAATGGTAGCAGCATCCAGGTCGTTGAGGACAACCAGGGGGCCATAGCGTTGGTGCAGATCCCCCTCAGCTCAGGTCGCACGGAACACATCGACGTGAGATTTCATTTCATCCGCGGATTTTTAGGTCGGGGGATATTTCGGTCAAGTTCGTTTTTACAACGGAGCAACACGCAAACCTCCTAACCAAGGCCCTCAGCAGAGCTAGTCTGCCGTGCCACCGGCGCAAGTTGATGAATTTGCCGGAGTAGTTGTAGCAATTTCTAGCACTTGGGAGCGGTGTTGTTTTCCATGCGGGGAAAGACGCATAGCTGTTGCGGTCTGTGTACCAATGGCAAGAGTAGGGGGGGTTGGGAGACCATTTTCCGGGGGACCGTAGTTCCTCGCGTTCTTGTCTTCGCCTTGGCCTTTCTAGTAAGTGCGGCTGTTGTGATCCGCCTTGATAGCGACGGTTATTATTGTGGTAGGTTGTTTTTTAGGGATTTTGCCTGGACGCCGGGTTTCCCTTCCATATACTACCATGTTGGCCTTTCCTGATGTATCCAGGGGCGTTCTTGCCATTGATGGTTAGTCACTTGCGTGAAGAACCAGGGAGGGTGTTCGTGGGTCTGCGAACATTGGTGTTGGATACATGTGCTGTATGATTGGGTGTCACGCAGATTGGTAAGATTGGCGTTTGGTAGGGGGTGCCGTGATGATTCACGGGGTGCCTCATTGCCGTTGGGGCCGTTCTTAGAGCACTCCCTCTCGTCCGTGTGAAGGACGGTCGTCTTCCTCTCGTGAAGTTTAATACGACACCCTGTGAGTGTTAACTTTGCTACGATTATGTCAGAAGCCTAAGACTACAATTGTGTCAGGAGCCTGAGACGCAAGAGTTCAACCATTATTGCACTCTAAATGAAAGACCTTTTTTTTCTGGTGCATCAGTCCGCGGTCGCCCTTAGACTTTTGTTTTCGCTGGTCGTTACCCGCTGCAGCGGGCCAGTCTCTGGATCACAGCGCCCCTGTCGCGAGCTCGAAATTCCAAAGGAGAGTAGAGTTACAGCATCGCGAGTGCACGCACCTATTACTTCATTGAGTTAGACGTTGTGGTGAGGTAAACTTTTCAATCGTTTATAATCTGGGTTTGAACGTTTTATCGGCCATCTTCGCCGCCCTGACCGCGCTAATCCGACGATCACATCGCCCCTGTCGCGAGCTCGAGACTTCAAGGGTGAGCCGAGTTACAGCATCGAGAATAAGTCACAACAGCGAGTCTACGAAAGGATTGTCACTTATATGAAGCCCTCAGCGGGCTGGTCAAGATTTTGTCGGAGAACGTCACTCCACTTTATTCAACCATGACCAACCATCAGCTGCCGACCACAGAGTTACGACCAGAAGGCGGGGCATTGCATCACACTTTTTACAACCTCCCTTTGGCTACCGTGTTTCTGGTATCTCCCTTCCATAAATTAACCGTAACGACCCCGCTGAATCACGTTGTAGCGCGTGCTATGTAATGTGAAACTCGCCTTGCGAACCAACGAGCCCATAATCAAGGCTTGTCAGAAACCACATGAAGGCCGTCTTCAACGCCGTGACCGCCGCAGGGATTGGCATCGCGAGATGTTGGCTTCTGCGTAGGAGAGGAGTTTGGCAGCGTTCCGACGACGAGTGAAAGCGAAAGGTATTAGCGGCATCCTTTTCGTTCGACGACAGGATCTGAAACTAATTTTTTACTCCAACTACTAGACCCCGAGTGGGGGGAGTTTTTTCCGCGTGCACCATCACAACAGCATAACCCGTGCTGCGGAAAGTACCTGCAGTAGGCTGGGTCGTGCGCCCCCCGTGAATATGTATTGCTTTTGTTTCGGTACACAAACCCGAAATGTGATTGATGCGATATTGTTGATGCGAATCGTTGTTGTCAGCACTCCGTATGCGTTAATAAATGAAGAAGTAGAAAAAAATGCCCCACCACTCAGAACATAGCAGCAGCAGAATATTTGAACTAGCACGCGAGTTGTCGCCGATCGCGAGCCCCTCCTCACTACGCCCTGTCCTGGTCTGTATACCACACGCGAACACCCTCTGTGATATGCAGATAGTGAAAGCCGCGAGCTGTAGAGGAGGAGATGCGTGGTAGCTGGTCTGAACACGTGCCAAAGTTGGCCACTCGGTGTGGACGAGGTCAAAAAACGAACACAGCAGCAGCAGAACCAAACTGACACACACGTGTCCCAAATGACAGTTGAAGGACGCCGCAAAGAGAGGACAAACCGGGTGTGAACGAGTGACTTAGGGGTTGGTGCATGGAAACAACGACGCGAGAAGTGTTCACCTATTAGGAGTAGGCTTGGGCACTCGTTTTGTTTTGCAGAACGTCGCCAATTGGCGCAGTTATCGATGAAACGGATTGTGAATAGAGTACATATCGGCACCGGATGCAGCGACGCGGGCACGAAATGAGAAACGCTTGGGTGCGGAATGATGGCCTTGTTACGCTACAGCTTGTGCACTTTTCCGCACCAAAAACGATCCTCAAACGGCTTGTTTATCGGTGCAAAGGTGGTGCACACACACACACACACACGGGCATCAATTTGAGAACAGTAATTAATTCAGGGGTCGGGCTGACAGGCGGTGTTATTTAACGTGCGCAGAACCCAGGCGGGGATTCAAAGAGGACCCATCTAAGACAGTTTTTTTTCGAAAAAAAAACTCCGCTATCGCTCCGATTTTTTTCGCACGCGCGCTTCGCGCGCGGAAAAAACTTCTATGAAAGTTTGTTATTGAAGACTGAACAAGCTGTACTTTATTGTGCACGGAAGAATTCGCAACATCTCCCAGATCTACGTGCGTATTTGGGTTCTCGTTGTGCCGCCCTTGAGGCGCGTTGGTTCGGATGTCTGGTTCAGTTTTCCGGAGTCTCTTAAAGAAAAAGGTCTCACGGAGTCCTCACGCTGCTGCCTCGCTGTCCTGCGGCAAGAGTTTGATGGACGCTTGTCCACTGGACCCAATGGCCACGTTGTGAGAAAGACTGTATGTGTAACATATCAGCGGAATTTCGCTGTGCACTAGCAGCAGAACGATGCTGCAGATGCCGGGAGGCTGTGTAGCCTACTTCAGAGGTTCACACTCTGTGCGGCTCGAGAGACTTGGAAGGGAAATATGAAGTTGCTGACTCCCGAGTCAGATTGATGTTGCTGGTACTGAAGGGGAGTGAGAGGGTGTCGAGCTTAGGGCTGCACCACTCTCCTCGAATACCGGACAAATAAGCCAATCATACGAAATATCTAGAATGCTTCCAGAATGATCCTGGAAGCCCTCCTACGTTCTAGAATAATGTCAACTGCAATATGGGTCTAGAACGCTTCCAGAAACTTACGAAAGGTTCCAGTTGGTTCCAGAAGGCTTCGAGAAGCTACACACGTTCTACGTAGATGTCCCAGTCGACCTTAACCTAGCATGCTTCGGGGATATTTCTAGAACAAGAGAATACATGCCACAGAGAGATAAATTATTTTCTACTGCTACGCAGACTGGTTGTTGTAATCGTATTTCAAGGTCAAACCGTGTCCGACTAGTGGTGGCCTCAACGCACGATTTTTTTCTGAAAGGACATGCCGCCCGCTTTGGAGGGCCACGCGGCAGAGAAGGGCAGCAGCTAGCTACACCCAAATTCGGACGATAGCTACCAATGTCGTAGCGTTTCACAGGTGGGGGACAGGAGAAACGTTACGAGTGAGGGCTCACTTACAAGAAGCCTCTGAATGTCTACTGTGACTCGGAGGAGCCACCTTGCGTTGTAGAAGCAAGTTATTCAATGTAGGATGGAGCGTTTTCTGAATGGTGGTGAGTAACATTGGGAGGCTCAATCGGCCGAAACTGCTACTGTACAGCAGTTTCGTCACGTCTTGTGAGAGTTTTGGGGGGAAGTTAGGAATGAAAAGGAAGGGACGGTGTATGGAGAAGCAATGAAGACGAGAAGACGTGAAGACGTTCGCGAAGAGCAAGAGGGCACGGGAGTGTGAAGCATCGCCCCCCCACGCCCCCGGTGGGCGGGGGGGTCATAAGGTGTGACAGGTCCGCGAGAAAGGCCGATGTGTGCTGCGCGGCTATGGTCGATGTTGTCAATCATTTACTCCATGTTTTGCAGTGCAATAGTTCGGGACCACCTCTCGACCATTTCATTTCGTGCGCAGACTATTAGTCCAGTCTACTCGCAAGAAACTTTTCGTGTTCAAAGCAATTGTTGTCCAATACGACCAAGACGCGCGTCACCAATCTTCATCCTTCATTCGGTGCGGCAAAAGTCGATCCATCTACATGATTCGTGGAAGCTTTCCACGATAGCAACGAAGTACATACTGCTGTTGGGGTGCTTAACACCGTGTGCATGGCCCGCATGGTAAGGAACCGAACGAAGAGTGTTGTTGTGCATGAACAACAACACTACATGTACACCCATCAGCCATATACTCCGAGTACTGAAGGCTGTGGGATATCTTAGATGGACATACATACACCCACAAGAACAACGTAATGAGCTCTGGGCAAACGCTGTGGACATGGATTGCGGAAAATATAGGGAAAAAGGAGAAAGAGGAATAAATGTAGCCCGGCGTTGAACTCGGGGCGTGCTACAATAGGGGGGCGCCCTGTCCCAGACCTACTCCATACCCAGAACCATTCTTTGTACGGCAAAATTAAATATCTTCACAGATACAACTCAAGAACACTGCAAGGAAAAGAGGGTGCACAGCAAGCAGTATCGTAGTTTCCAGATTGGTGTATTCCGCGCACGACAGCGGCAACAACTCCCTCTGCTTTTGTTGTGATGGATAGGGACACGAACTAGACTACTGCAGTAGAGTGCTTGTCTCGCATGCAGATAATAACGCGAAAAGGAAAACATTGCTGTCGCGTGCTCCTGTGCGCTGTATCAAACGTGGTTCCGCTGTCGATTTGCATACACGTGCGTCCAAAGCTGTGCGAAAGCCTTAGTTGGCTTGCGGTAGGTCTGGTCCATACTGCTGTGTACTGTAGCCAAAAGGAAATCGACCTACGAATTTTTTTTCAAAGAGTAAGAAACATGTCACGACACGTCGACCGTCCTGCAAGAATATTTACTAAGTCTGTCTTCAAGCCCTCAACATAGGCGGTGGCGAGTGCCATCAACCTGTGCAGCGGACAGCATGTGGTCGTCCACGGTGTGTGGCAATACTACCGTCTCTCCCCTACAAGAAAACTGCACTCGGTAGGGGGGTGGGAGCACCGACGGAGTAGCAGTGGGATTTTCTTACGCTACACGCTCCGCCAGCTACCGCTTCTTGTTTTTTGCGTCTTGGGGGTATCACACCATCATGGGGCGGTTCTTATGTCGTTGAAGACAAAATTGAGCTGTGTTTCTTGGCGCTTTTTTATTATTTTTCTGTTCAAGTTGAGCCTCAACTTCTCATCATTATTCTTCCTAGCTGCGGGCGCTATCTGTAGTCTAATCACGCAGAAACGTCGTGTTCAAAGCATCTGTTGTCCCAAACAACCGAGACGCGCACCACCAATGCACATTCACTTTTCATTCGGTGAAACAATAGTCGATTCATCTACTTATTTTTTCGTGCAAGCTTTTGGCAAAAGCAACGATTGCAACTTGATGAATCACGTACACCTCGAGCTGCAGACAAGACATCGAGTTCAGCTACCGAACCTCCTCGTTTTCACCAGGCCCCTTCAACTGCGAAGAAGAAACATCGGGAACGGTTCAGCTTGCGGTTCGGAGATCATCAAGGACGAACAAGCTCCGACTGAGGAAGACAAGAAAGCGACATAAGGTCTCACATTCACAAGACAGGGCCTTCCCACAGTGGGAGGGGCTTCTTTAGCGCTGTGCTTTGATCACCAAGGCGTTCGCTGGAAAATTGACTCATACACAGAGCAGATAACGGCTGTATCATCAGCAGGGACGGTCCACACCGAAGTCCTATACACCCATACGCAAGAAAAGGGTAAACAGGAGCGGGGCCGGGAAAGGACGATATACAACCGTAATCCTTTTGAGCAGGAGCAGGGTCGAGAATGTCTGCACCGTGGTCCTAATCTATGCATCCAATCGTAACGAGTGGGTAAACAAGACCGGGGCCGGGAAAGGACGACCTCCGACCGCAATCCTTTCGAGCAGGAGCGGGGTCGGGAAAGGACGATCTACAACCGTAATCCTTTTCAGCAGGCGGGGGGTCAGACGATCTGCACCGTAGTCCTTTACACCCAGTCGTAACGAGTGGGTAAACAAGGCCGGGGCCGGGAAAGGACGACCTCCGACCGCAATCCTTTCGAGCAGGAGCGGGGTCGGGAAAGGACGATCTACAACCGTAATCCTTTTCAGCAGGCGGGGGGTCAGACGATCTGCACCGTAGTCCTTTACACCCAGTCGTAACAAGTAGGTAAACAAGACCGGGGCCGGGATGTCTAGCCCCAATCCGTTCGAGCAGGAGCGGGGCCGGGAAAGGACGATATACAACCGTAATCCTTTTCAGCAGGAGCGGGGTCGAGACGGTCTGCACCGTAGTCCTTTACACCCAGTCGTAACGAGTGGGTAAACAAGACCGGGGCCGGGACCTCTAGCCGCAATCCGTTCGAGCAGGAGCGGGGCCGGGAAAGGACGATATACAACCGTAATCCTTTTCAGCAGGAGCGGGGTCGAGACGGTCTGCACCGTAGTCCTTTACACCCAGTCGTAACGAGTGGGTAAACAAGACCGGGGCCGGGAAAGGACGACCTCTAACCGCATCCTTTCCAGCAGGCGGGGGGTCGAGACGGTCTGCACCGTAGTCCTTTACACCCAGTCGTAACGAGTGGGTAAACAAGACCGGGGCCGGGAAAGGACGACCTCTAACCGCATCCTTTCCAGCAGGCGGGGGGTCGAGACGGTCTGCACCGTAGTCCTTTACACCCAGTCGTAACGAGTGGGTAAACAAGACCGGGGCCGGGAAAGGACGACCTCTAACCGCATCCTTTCCAGCAGGCGGGGGGTCGAGACGGTCTGCACCGTAGTCCTTTACACCCAGTCGTAACGAGTGGGTAAACAAGACCGTGGCCGGGAAAGGACGACCTCTAACCGCAATCTTTTCGAGCAGGAGCGGGGTCGGGAAAGGACGATCTACAACCGTTATCCTTTTGAGCAGGCGCGGGGTCGAGACGGTCTCCACCGTAGTCCTTTACACCCAGTCGTAACAAGTAGGTAAACAAGACCGGGGCCGGGAAAGGACGACCTCTAACCGTAATCCTTTCGAGCAGGAGCGCGGTCGGGAAAGAACAATCTACAACCGTAATCCTTTTCAGCATGCGCGGGGTCGAGACGGTCTGCACCGTAGTCCTTTACACCCAGTCGTAACGAGTGGGTGAACATGAGCGGGGCCGGGAAAAGGACGAACTACAACCCCAATCCTTTTGTGCAGGAGCGGGGTCGGGAACCTCGGTTCACACCATCAGTAAATACCTCCTACGACAGGACGGACTGCTGCGATAGACAGCAGGGAACATCAGCATCACCATCGTCCTTCGCATCGCACGGCAACAGGAGCGCATGGCGATAAGAAACGGCATACCATGACGGATGATTCCCCCGGCGATAACACTCCCAACCTCGCCAAAACCGTTCGAGGGCTGAAAAGGCACGACGGAAGGAACCCAGCTGAATTTGAGGGCTGGATGAAGAGGCGTTGCGTCGTTCTCGGAGTTACGCGCAGGGACGTCCTGCCGCTGCTGAAAGGCCGGAGTAGGCCCGCGGAAACGAATGAGGACTACGTCCATTGCAAGTCGAACGAAGACCTGTTCCCCATACTCTACCTACTGGTTGAAGTAGTGGGTCCCTTCGGTACAGAAGCACGAGGACGAACGCGAGATCATGGGAGGCGGTCAGGTAGCCTTCAAGGAACTGAACTTGAAGTACAAGAAACCATGGAGGAGCTAATCAACGCGCCCATGGAACCCGGGCAGAACCCGGACGTCTACTTCAACCAGAGGCACCTCGTACGATACAAGGCTGAGAAGCTGGGGGAAACAATCTCGTATCGCTACTTCAAGGACATGTGCGTCACCGGCCTCACCGATGAATTCAAGGACGTCAAGATGATCATGTACCGCGACCCAGACTTCAACGTCGACAAGATGCAAACCACCGTGAGTGACGTGTTCCTTGACGAGCAATCTCGAAAAGGGCCGAAGTGGACTGCGGAGAAAAGGGACTCATCCGGAGGAACTGCCCCGAAACGAAAGGCAAGGGAGGAGACCCAGCCTGCCGGAGTCGCCAAATGGTGCTCGGTTTACTTCGCAACCAGGAACTCCGACGAGGAATGCTTCGAGCACGGAGCGACGCAGCCGAAAAAATCTAGCAACACGGGCAAGGCCTTCTCCGCATGCGCTAATTGTGCACACTGCTCCTCATCTAGCAACAAAAGGAACCAGTCACGACGAAAAGGGGGGCAAGCGGTACGGAAGCCGAAATCGACTTCAGCGCATTGAGCGAATCAGAAGAAGGGTTCGTGTACGCAACCGTCCGAAAAGGGAGGAGATCAAGCCCAACGCTGCCGGAGCCACTCTGCTTATCGACACCGGAGCATCCGAGAAAGTGCTCAACGATCGTTTCATCCCAGGTTTGAAGGAAACAGTGTGGGAGTACAAGAATCTCGCCAAACCTATGGCAGTCTCGGTCGGCGGTGACCATGAGGTGGATGGAATAGCTACAGGACTCATCCGATGCATCGTCAAGGACAGCAACGGCGACAGCGACTGCGAGAAACAGGCCGCCCTCCAACGAGGACTTGTCGTCCCCGGCCTCGGACGCAACGTCTTCTCGCCAACCGCACAGATACAAAATGGGGTCAAGCTAGCCATCGAGGGAGACCACCCGCACCTAGCGGTAAGAGGCCACATTTTGCCGCTGAAGCAGGATCCGTGCGACATGGGTATGTGCTCTCTTGACATAGAGTTCCAAGCAGCCTCCAAGCAAAAGACAACACCCACGAAACCAACTCTCACGCACTTTCGGACGATTGGGAGTTTAGCAAGCCGGACACAGTGATGGCTGATGACGATTTGGGGGTCATATACGCAGCAACAGTGAGCGCGAATACTTGGCACCGGCACCTCTGACAGCTCAGCTTCCGGAGCATGGAACTGCTACGCAATTAGGAGAACAATGAAGTTAATTTCTCGGACTTCATGACACCGTGCGACATCTGCGCCATCCGAAGAAGACTACTCGCGAGACGACGGCACCTATGCAAATGGTATACACCGACAGCATGGGAAAAATCACCCTGCTCGCGAAGAGAAGCTTTGGGTACGCTTCCAAGTTCACCGACGCACATTCGTGGATAAATGAAATATACCTGCTCAAGGCCAAGTCCGAGACCTTTCGAGCTTTTCACGCCTACAACATGCAGGTGGCTGCTCCGCTAGGCCGCCGCATGGAGATCATTCGGGGCGACAGAGGAGAGGAATACGTCGGCGACGAGTTCACCACGTACTGCACGGACTAAGGCATCACCATCGAATACGCCGCGACCAACACGCCTCAGCAGAATGGCATGTCCGAGCCAGACGGGTAAACCCTTCCGACGATTACCCCTGGCTCATGAAGGATGGAGCCTTTCCACCTACCCTGTGAGGGAACTGATGATGACGGCAGTATACCTTTCCAACCGGTCACCACATTCGGCGCCGGGAGGAGCTACCCCGTATTTCAAGATGCACGGCAAAAAAGCGGATCTCTCTCGCCTGCGGGTCATTGGGGCCGGATACACAAAAAAACTGAGTGACCGCGCGTTCCAAGGCAAAGTAGGAACGTGACCTTACTGAGACACCAGCGTACTCCATGCCGCCCGACGTGCTCGATGACGACAACTTTTACGAAAGCGACGTTCTGAACGTCACGCCTGTTCTTGGCAAGGTGTCCACCACAGGAGACGAGTTCAATGGATCGAGTGCCCTCGACACGGTCGACCTGGAAACCGAGAATCAGCTCCTCCGGCAACAGATCCGCCGTATGTGCTACAGCAATTTGATTGGAGAGGGTCTTCAACAACAGACAATCAACACGGGACACGACACTTCGCCCAGCCCGCCGAATTCGCCTCGGCTAGCCACGTTCAGCGACGACCCAGATGTCCCACAGGCAGAAAGTATCGCACCAGGCAGCGCGTCGAAGCCGACCCAGGGGATATGGCGGCCACTCAAAGTCACCCGCGCCGCCACCACGAGGAGGCCGAACGCCTCTGACTCGATCGACCCTTCCCTTGAGCCGAGCTCCCTCAAAATCACCATGGACGACAGCGGAATTGGATGCGTGACGGCCACAACGATGCGGCCCGACCCCAGCGCACTGACGTCTGGACAACTGTTGGACTTCGCCAGCAAGGCCTACCACGATCGCGCCAGCGCCGCGCCGGATTTTGCTCATCTGGATGAAGAATCGCTCCCAGTATCGCGGGCCTCCGTGTACGACACAGGCACTCCAATCCCGCAAGCATCCTTGGAGGAGGAGCGCATCAAAATCCCGAACACCTACAAGGAAGCCGTCAACTCCCTGCAAGCGTCACAGCGGAATGCAGCTATCGCAAAGGAGATGGACAGTCTGACGAACCACAAGGTCAAAATGTTGGTCCCCATCACCAGCGTTCCCAAGGAAGAGGAGATCCTCCGTACACGGTTCGTCTTCAAACAGAAAGCCGACGGGAAACTCAAGATCACGCTGGTGGTCCAAGGTCACGTGGACGAGTCTGACATCGACTTCGGGGGGAGCTACGCACCAGATTGCAGCATCCGGAGCGTTCGCACCTTACTTGCCATAGCATGCGAGCACGGATGGCCTGTATGGCAGATGGACGTAGCCGTGGATTTTTACAGTCCACGACCGACAAGGACACCCGCTCCATGACAAGACGCAAAGGACCCCGTGAATGGGGAGATTATGGTCTACGAGCTCAAACACAGTCGTGAATGGCTTTCACAGTCGCCGGTGCTCTGGTTCAACACCATAGGAGATGTGCTAACGGTGATCGGATTCAAGCCCACACAGTCCGACCCCTTCGTATTCGTATACGGAAGCGGCGACACTCTCGTCATCTTGACGCTGTGTATCGACGACATCCTCATCAGCGGAAAGGACCCCGAGCTCGTAGCGGGCCTCAAGAAATAACTCCGCGACCGAATAGAAATGACGGACATGGGGAAAGTCAGCCTCATTCTAGGCATGCAACACGCGCAGATACGAGGAAGGCACGCTGATTGTCTCGCATAACAACTACATCAAGACCATCCTCGAAAGGTTCGGTAAAGAGCACTGCAACCCTGTCAGCACTCCAGGACGTGGACCGGGACTCTCGACTGATCAGCCAGCCGACGAACTACTCGGAGCGGCAGACACCAAACTGTACCAGTCCGTTACAGGCAGCCTGCTCTACCTGGCTCATTGCACCAGGTACGACTTGTGTGACGCAGTCAACCAGCTGACCAGAGCATCCAGCAAGCCTGCTCAGGTCCACATAACTGCCGCCAGGCACGCGCTTCGGTACTTTTTCGGGACGCCGGACATGCTTGTCGTATTCAATCAAGGGCAATTCCGCATCGCAGCATTCGCCGACGCTTCGTTCGCAGCTAAGCCGGACAACAGCAAGTCTACCACAGGGTACCTGTTCGTCCTGGAAGGAGGTCTCATCAGCTTCGGAACCAAGACGCAGTCTCTCACGACCCAATAGACCGTCGAAGGCGAGCTCAAAGCCATTAGCTACGCTGCCAGGGAGGCCGCGTACCTCTCCAACTTACTCATGGAGGTCAAGCTCGACATCTATACTGATCAAGCGTCGCCGCATCACGGTTCACCACGTCCCAACGCAAGCCATGCTGGCCGACATGGCGACTAAACAATTGGATCTGCACAAGCTCAACTCAATCTTCAACAGAACAAAGCTTTCGAATGCTAGGGATAGAAGACAACAGTCCGCTGTGGCGTCAATGGGGAGCCTGCATCTGAAACATGGAGGGAGCGAGCACATGTCCAGCTAATTCGGCGATGAATCTTCTTGATTGAAAAATTTCAGGTTCCGTCTGTTTCGTTTGCTCGCTGTTCAGTTTGTTTTACTTTCTACCGACCAATGAGAGTAGGGACAGACAGCAAGCAGAAATAGTTGTCCGTCGAGTAGACGGCTTGCATAGGAAGATTTTTACCGTTCCCGCAAGGTATGTATGATTGATACGAAGGGTGGGAATTTCACATTTCCCTTGAAAATATGTGTGCGGGCAGTGTACGCAACTATATAAATTAGAGAGGAGATTCGAAGCAGCATGTAGCAAACACACGACCAGTTCGCCAGCGCGCTGACCGGAAGCAGAAGGCTAGTTTGTGACGACATCGGCCGCCACCCCTTTCGTGTTTGTTGGTTGATCAAAAGGTCGTGGAAGCTGCACCGTTTGCCGTGTTAGTTGATCGAGGGGTCGGGTCGGGGATATCCATCCTTGCTTGATATTTGCTGAGATCAGTGCTCGATCGTTAGTTATCTGTGATAGGGCTTGGAGCTGCACCATTTGCCGTGTTACTTGATCGAGGGGTCGCGTCGGGGATAAGCATCACTGCTTGATATTTGCGGACTACAAGCTGCATCATAATTCATTCATTCATTCATTCATAGTCTGTTGCAGCAACACAACAAGCAGGCGTCTCTGCCTGTGTGATGCGTATGCACAAATACACTTTCGAGTGCACAACACGTGTAGCCTAGCATGATGGGTTGGCAGTTGAGGACCCTTGTCCTAGATACACACTAGATACACCGCAGTGGTAGAAGCTTACGTCTATAGATCGAGCAGGGAGACTCTGAATAAGACAGAGAGATTGTCGGAATACCTGCCGTAAAACTTCGAGCCTGTCCGCACGGTCCGAGCAGACCCCGAAAGAACGGTACAGCAAGTAGATATCGGGGGAACCCTGCGTTCGGTTTGTGTGATCTTGAGCAGCGCACGATTACGTGCACAGAGCGGCAACCCACGATAAGTTGTAGCCGCTGTTCAGCACACACATCTTTTGAGGCATGGGTACACGGCAGATCATGGTGGACCTTTGCTCAAAACAACATATTCGCCTGATTGAGAGCAAAGTATCTGATTGAGAGCGAGAGCCAAAAAAATTGAAATTTCGGGTCCAGACGCCTCTTGCCATTTCTTGGCAAGTAGGGGACGGGCTATTCCAAGAAGCGGTGCAAATTGAAGGTCTCATCAGCAGCTTCGCGAGCATATGCGTGTCATCGTCATCGGATGCTGCAGCGAGGAGCTAGACAAGTTGCTAGATTTGCCCAGATTGGCTATTTCTGCTCAAACTGTTTCAGGGCGGTATCGCGTCGGGCGGTGGGCTCTGCTGTAGCTTCTGCTCCCCGCTGTAGCTCCACAACGAGAGACTCCCACAGGATGACCAGGGTAGCGGCTTGAAGCTACGGGCTAGCCCTTCAATTCAAGCTACACAGCAAGCTCCACCTCTCAGTGGTAGTCCGGCTACAGCGTATCGCGCAATCTCGCTCTCAATCAGATGCTACGCTCTCAATCAGGCATAGATGTTGTTTCAAGCACGTCTCACATTAGTTACGGTACGGACGTAAAGTCGCGCGTTGCCGAGTTCACGAGTATGGCGCTTGGTTAATCCGTGGGACATGCATGACAGCCGCGTGTGCACACCACCGTGGGCAATAGGGCTAATGTGAGAAACAACAACAAGCAACAAACCAGCACCGAAGCACAGGAGGAGAACAGAGTTGGCAGCACAGAGAACTGCTGTGTTGACTCCGCGATGTAAACAGCAGCCAACACCCTCAACATTTCTTTCATGTATGGGTTCTGCATGTGGTCATCACACGATTTTATGATGGCGTTACCCCAGCCATACAACACGTTCGGAAGGCCGTCCAGCCGTGAGAAAGTACACACATCGTCTGCATCACTGCTGAAGCTGTAGAGACTGTGTAGCGGAGAGACTTGCCTTCCCCTGCTACATGTCACCAGCAGTGTGCATACGACACCGACCGCGGTCATCACCCAATACGACGTGCCTCGCCTTTCCGCTCGAACGCGAAATATCTACGACAGCTACATTTGGCATTAACTTCCTTCGACGCACGCCACACCCAATATGACGCACGCTTACTCTTAGTCGGGGTTGTGCTGTGCGCCAGCCGCTTGCTCAGCGGAGCCGCGAAGGATTTTTCGAAATTTTTCTTCACACGCAGCCTCAATAATGTGTTGTCTGCATCTTACGAACGATATAGGGACGATGTGGTGCTCGACGCCAAGCCACACAATCTTCAGTTCAACAGCGAGACAGTCAGAGATTTGTACATTGTGGTTGCCGCGTATCACCAGTACTTTTTACGTCACTCACCAGGTTGCCTAAAAGCCCTTTGTTCGGTATGACTGCCGTTCAACCTTACTTGTTTCGATATGTCGTTGGATCCTTTTACTCCATGGGGCCATTTGTATTCTCCAACTCGCGGGTACTCAAGTCTGAGGACCTGGTTATTTCAACAGAGATACAATATGTAGGCTGTTGTAATGCCAAGGCGCATACATTGCGCCGTCCATTGCCTCAGCGTGGTTGGTCCTACCGTCACGAACACTTCGTCATGCACGCTTTGACAGACAACGAATACAGTCAACTTTGCCCTGCCCTGCATCATTAATGTCGACGCTTGTGTGCTTTTCACCTTGAGTGTCGTTCGGGCTTCAATGGGCAGGGCAGCCTTTGGTTGCTTCCACAACCTACATAGTGATGGGGTTTAACTTGAAAAGAGGGATCAAACCGCTTTCATTCAAGCACACGTTGAGACGTCCGCTTTCATGCCACATTGTGATCGACTCGCGTTTTCTGTCGTTTTGGCTGCACCCTTGGGCGTCAGTAGCTACATCGTACGAACAATATTCTCCATCCGTTGAGTTCGTTCCACAACAACAACAGCAGGACATGTCATGTACACTTATCAACATATACTACTCCGAGCAGTGAGGACTGTGGGACATCTATGACGAACATGAATAGTCTACACAAAAACGAACACGTGAGGAGCTCTGGACACAGGGTGTGGATATATCCATGCGGAAAAATAGGGGGGAAAGGAAGAAAAGAGCAACCAGCCTAGCCTTGAACTTGGGGCCTGCCAAACGCTATGCGTGTCGTCCCAACACCTACTCCATACTGACGCAGCCGGCAAAATCTCGTGTCGAAAAGGATGAAATCAAGACTACTGAAGGGCGGGTGTACAGCAAGCAGTAGTTTCAAGATTGGTGTGCTGGGCGCACGATAGCCGCCGCAACTTCCTCTGCTTTTGTTGTGATGGATAGGGACATGCACCAGACTAGAGCAGTAGAGTGCTTTGTCTCGAGTCATGCGGAGAGTCATTACGCCGAAAGGAAAACGTTGCTGTCACGTACTGCTGTGTGCTGTATGAAGCGTGGTGCCGCTGTCGACATGCATATATACACGTGCGTCCAAAGCTGCGCTTCAACCTTAGTTGGCTTGCGGTAGGTCTGCAAGTACGGCCGACCCGTGCAGCGTGTCTGTTCTATGCTGTCAAATCAGTTGCAACGTGTGTCGACCTTTAAGCGCGTGATTCAACGTGTGTGGCTGTTGCTGTGCATCCTGCTGCTGCGTAAAACAGCGTGGTGTGGATGCCTGCGTGATACAAAACAAGCTGCGCTACCCTAAATGGCTTGCGGTAGGTCTAGAAGTACGCCTAACACGTACGTGCTGTGCGTCTTTCTCCGTGCTGTGAATCATATGCGACGCTTGTCGGCCTTGATCATACGGTTGCGCGTACCTGAACGTGAACCTTCGGTGTCTGGTCCAAACTGCTGTGCTCTGTTGTAGCCGAAAAAAAAAATCGAGCTACGATATTTATTCTTCCCATGCTAAAAGTAAGAAATGTGTCACGACATGTCGACCATCCTGCAAGTACATCCCGTCTCAATATAGCATGATTTCGGTGCACTCCCGATCCGAATACCTACTGAGGTTGCGGCGATGGCCGAAGCCAGCCCCCGGCTCAGTGGCAGGGCACCGTTCGAGCGACCTTCGTTGCGCTCCGGATCCGACTACCTGCTGGCTGTGCAGCCGTGGCATGGGCCAGAGGTAAACACAGGAACAGGGCACCGTTCGAGCGGCATTTTACTGTTGTTTGAAGATGGTATCTATCTAATTGTGATTGCACTTCGGACCGACTAAATACCTACTGAGTTGGCGGCTATGTTCGATGGCAGCCCACCCGGCTCAGCAGCAGGTTTCCGTTCGAGCGACGTTCGAGGCCCTCTGGATCCAGCGACCTGCAAATATTTTGTTGGCAGTGGGAAAGACAAGCCGGAAACGCAGTGAAAGGGCACCATTCGACGCACAAATGGTATTTGTTTAACATTTTTACCTATGGTTTCTGGATCCGACTAACCTTCTGAGTTGGCGGCGATGACCGGTGCCAGCCACCGTCTCAGTAACAGGGCACCGTTCGAGCGACGAAGGTATATTTATTCATTGTTATGTGACATGTTTAGAAGTATATGTCTGGTGTGATTGCACTCCGAATCCGACTACTTACTACGGAGTTCGCGGCCATGGCCGAAGCCAGCCCCAGGCTCAGCAGCCATGACATCGTTCGAGCGACACATCTACTGTTTGATATTATTCCTCACTCAGTGTGAGTGCACCCCGGATCCGAATAACCATTGAGTCGGCGGCGATGGCCGGGCCGACCACCGGCTCAGTAACAGGTCACCGTTCGAGCGAAGTCCACTCCGGATCGGACTACCTTCTGAGATGGCAGCGATAGCCGAAACCAGAGATGAACTCAGAACAGGGCGCCGTCCGAGGGACTAATATTTGCACTCCGGATCCGACTACCTCCAAAGTTAACAGCAGTGGCCTAAGCCAGTCCCAACTCAGCAACAGGGCACCGTTGGAGCGATAGTTCGGTGTCTTTTTGACATTGTTAGGCTCGTTATTTTCGCAACGGAACGAACGGTGAAAAGAAAACCCGACTTTTTATCGCTTAATCTATTCGTGATGTCATCGCAATAAGTACTTTTCTTTCCCTGAATACACGCTTTGATCGGCACACAACAAGTTGACTTGGTGTTGCTCACCGTAGAGCAGCGGTAAAAGCGCGATGGGCAGCACCCGGCACAAAGGACAACGCACGTAGAAAGATCCTGTCCACCCGGCCTGCTGTTCTCAATTTCAGCAGCAACAGGCGCAGGGCAGAGTTTCGCAACCTGGGTGTTGCTTGCGATTTCTTCAGTTTGTCAGCTTATTTTTCGCGGTTGCGACTCCCATCTTTGACTACCACCTGCCCAAAGATAGACGAGGTAAAAAATCATAGGGCGGCAGCTGCGCTGAGGGTCAGCATCATGTAGATGGCCAATCCGAAAGAAATAGCGTGCCGGAGGCCCTGTTACTTGTGTGCTGCGTGGTGCCGTGGGTTGATGTTGACGTGTCCGACCAAAAACAGATCAACTCGCCGCATTTTTTCCAACGACTTTTTGGTGAGGTGGCACACGTCTTTCACACACCTTATGGAGCAGCACCCACGCACCCAATTCCCACGAAGCAGCACGGTGCCTGAAGATGGTATCATATCGACAGCCGAACCGATGGAATCAGCGCGTTGGAGGTCTTGGGGCTGCTGCTGTATCCGTTCTACTGTTTCCGTGTTTGCCATGTGCGATTGACAAAAATTCCCCAGCACCAACAGCAGCAGGTGAGGACGAGAGCACCACGCCATGTATAGTTTTGGACCAAGAACGGACTGAACGCCGCTTCTGCCGCTTGTCCATCTCCACAACAGACCTGGACAAGAGTGTGGCAGGTCTTTCTATCGTTCTCAGTGATGTTACAACGCCCGCGGTGCGCTTGTCCGATGCTTCTGTCAAAAAACACGATTCCGTGAAAATAGCAAGCCCCAAACGATCTCGGCTTCTTCTTCTCACGTTTTACAGGCAAAACCCCTCCATTTATATCCAAGAAAATACGCTTCCGTGAAATGTTCGGTGATTTTTTTGTCATTAATAGTACCCCTCAGCTACTGAGTGGGCGGCGATGGCTGGGGCCAGCCCCCCCCTCCCGGCTCAGCAACAGGGCACCGTTTGAGCGACATCCACCACTGAGTTGGCAACGACGGCCGAAGCCAGCCACAATCTCAGAAGCAGGGCACCGTTCGAGGGGCTATTATTTGCACTCCGGATCCGACTACTAGTGAGTTGGCAATGGAACGGTCGAAAACAGCACCGAGTTGAAGCAGGGCACCGTTGGAACGACAATTTATTGATGTTTGACACTTTTTTTGTTCGTTGTGCAGTCCGCATCCGACTACCTACTACTAAGGTGGCGGCGATGGCCTCGGCCATCGCCGCGCTCAGAAATCGGGCACCGATCGACCGACATTAATTATCTTAATTTATTTGTTTTCGCGCCGGATCCGACTAACAGCCGAGGCCAGCCGCCAACTCAGTAGCAGGGCACCTGTCAAGCGTCGACGTGTCATTGCATTCCGATCCGACTACCTATTGAGTTTTCAGCGTCGGCAAGCCCGGCCACCTACTCAATAACAGGGCACCGTTCATGCGACGTTGTGTTTGCACTCCTGATCCGACAAACCGACAACCAGCTCAACAGCAGGGCACCGGTCGAGCGATTGCCGTTTCACTCCGGATTCAACTAACCTTTTGAGATTGTTAACGTTGGTGGCCGAAGCCAGCCGCCAACTCAGTAACAGGGCACCGTTCGAGCAACATTATTTCGCCTGCATGCGATATGGCGTTGCAGGGGAGATATGGGGGTTGGTGTCATGCAGCATCAGCCGTGCCCACGACCCCGTGTACCATACCATGGTAAATATATTCTGGTTTTCATGGCAAACCTGCATTCCCACACGGGAGTTCAATCACGTCTAGTGCGTTGGGTGGAAGAGACGGCTACGCATAGCTCGCGTAAATAGCCGAATACTAGCACCCAGGTACAGGTGGCCTCATGATGGGGATGTATATCTGCAGGCACAGCATTATACCTCGGTTGCTATTCGCCTTCCTCTCGGTTGCAGACGTCGCAGGAGGCAGACAAGAGGTACAAGTGGGAGCACACAGCAAACTGCTGTCGAGCATACTGGGCGAACTGCGTGATCTCAAGTGGCGGCGTCCTATGCAAACCGGTCGCCCCGGTGGTCTGGTGGTTTCCTCGTAGTGTGCTAGTTGCAGAGGTCGTTAGTTCGAATCCCCATGGGGTGAAAAATTTACGAAATGTGCGGATGAAAGCGAAACATAGCTGACAAGCTCTCGTGAGCACCACACTTTGACGTTATCACCGTTGACGAGGGAAAGGGACGGCTGGACCCTTCTCGCGCTAAAAATAAAATTCTTGTGTTTGGTCTTCAGATCTCGCTATCACTGCTACACCTTTCACCGTTGTTTGAATGTCTGCAAATCATTGTTCCTATCGTTGGCGCATTTGCAAGTTTGGATTTGCGTTGGTTTTGTTTTGTAGAGATGTCCGCTCGCGTTTTACCTTGCAGGGACACTAATTTTCACAGCACAATGGCAGGACATTTCCATGGTAGATTGTTGTTGTTTTCTGGGGGGCCAATAGAATGTTGCGGCCGGGGGGCTGTTGTTTGCCAGAAAAATGTCTCAAATGGCGGTAGCAGTATAATTTTTGCACACCCTGTACAAACGCAGTATTTGATGGTTTTTTGGGTATCAACACTTGCCTGAAAAGCAGCGCAACTATTTGGCTCCAGTCAACTATTGTTTCGAAAAGCTGAGCAACTATTTAATTGCCGTCAACTTCTTTTCAGAAATGCTACTTGATTCCAGTCAACTGCTGTCTTGAAAAGCTGCGCAGCTACTTGATTCCAGCCAACTACTGTCTTGAAAAGCTGCGCAGCTATTTGGTTCCAGTCAACTGCTGTCTTGAAAAGCTGCGCAATTATTACTATTGGTTCCACTCATCTGCTCCCGGAGGCAACTCTTTGTTAACTACTTATATTTGTCCTGACAACTCTTTTGAACATTTTGTGCTTGAAAGTGAGGGGGCGGGGGATCGGAGGGAGCCCAGCCTAATGTCATTGGACGGAAGATTAAAATTGGTTCCGGAAACGTGCATCCTCGAATCAATAGTGCTTGCATGTATCTGAGCCACCGTCATCGAGACGTAAATCAGCAAGATAAGTCAACCGAAGTGACAAAAAAAACAATGAGTTTTGCCCCGACTATAAAATAAATTACGTCCATCATTATCGTTTACGCGAGTTAAAGCTACTCAGAACGAAGAAGGACAAATTTGCAATAGACCAACCGACCACCATCCCGGTAATCCTTTCGTGACTAGAGAACATGGTCGTCTCGTGGCCACCAAGAATCGGCAAAGATCAAAGATCCACCCACGACCTCTCGGCAGCCAGCTCGTTCTTGCGGACGGCCTGACCGCCATAAAGCGCAACTGCCACCCTTCCCCATGCTACTGCCCCAAGCTTTTAATCCGACGCCTCCTCATCGGTGAGGTCCACCGGCGCGAAAGCGCCGTCGAGCGGCTCCAGCCCGTCGACGGGGTTCGCCAAACGCCCGGGGAACTTCGTTCGTGCAACAACCTCGGTCAGCTTGGTGATGTCCTCGGGGATGAGGTTCAGGTTCCCGTGCAGGAACATAATCATTTCCACGTACGTGCTGTCCATGGTGCTCCTGGAGGAGGTCGTCATTCGCCCAGCATTGCTGAAATAACACTCGAGCACTGCCGCCGATGCAGGAGCCCCGAAAACCACGCGTGCAACCCTAGCCAGAAGAGGGTAGGCGTGGGCCCACATCTTCCACCACTTGAGCACATCCTCGCACCTCAACCTGGCCGCGAGCCTGCCGCCCTGGACAGCCCTCAGCTTGGTGAGCTCGGCACGAGCAGTCTGCTTGAAAGACTGCGGCTCCTCGTTCTGCCCGTCAACCCCTGGCCCAAACAAGCCGAGGCTGGCATGCATGTTTGTAGTCGCCTCCTCCCTCTTGTTGACGGGGGCCTTGAACAAGCGGTGCACGCTCCCGGGAGAAGAAGTTGACGAGCACGTTTGGCAGCGGGCTCATCGGCAGCAGCAGACCCGGCGGGCGTCGTTGATCCATCCCCCGTGTGGAGTGCCGCTGCCTCCGCCAGCCTCACAGTCAAGAAGATGACCTTGTCGGTGATGGTCGACTTGACAGCACCAGCGAACGCTGACGTTGACGCGAGCTTTTCCACGTACCGCAGGCCAGCCGTGGTCGGGTGCAAGGCCATCTGCATGTCGAACACGTAGTCCGTGTCTTGGCTCTCGGCGCTCTTGTAGCGCTTGTCGAACCGCCGCCAATCAACGGACTCGCACATGTGCTGGCGAGTACCCTTTGCCACGCCAGTCAACAAGCTGTGCTCGAGGGGAGTGCTGGTGGCCGGTCACTCCCTGCCACCAATGCCGCTTGTCCCGGCCTGAGCCAGCTTGCGCGCCGGGGTCAAAATCTCGAGAGGGGAGTCGACGTTGAGCGTAGTGAGCTTGAGCGCCGCCAGGGCAAGCACCGCAAGTTGCACGGTAGGGACAGACGTCTGCTGGCACTTGACGATGACTTGCGCGGCCGGCTTGATGATGGAGAACAACTCGTCGATCTCGTCCGTCAGGGACGTGAGAGGACTGTCCTTGCCTTCCGTCGTGTACACGCCATCTATGGCTGCACGGTTGACGATGACCGCCTCCAAGACGTTTGTCACCCCTGACCACCGCTGGGGTGCGGCGTTGACGAGGGGGGGGGGGGGGGGGGGGGGGGGGGGGGGGG